GGCGGGACTGTTGTCTGCGTGCAGCTTCTGAAGCACTCTTTGTGCACGGCCAGAGGACTGACTGCCAATTGGTAAAGACGGAGACGGAGGAGAAAAAGAGGGAGATAACTAGAAGTAACTGCGCCTTGTTTTGTTTAAGGCATAATTATTCTCGAGGCTTTACTATTGCTGTGCGTGGGTGCCTCTGCGTGGGGCCCATGTCTGCGTGCTCCTATCCCCCCACCCCTTTTTTTTTATTTTATTGTTTTCTGTGTTTGTTTGTCATCTCACTGCTTTTCTTTTTGTTCCCTGCCTTATGCCTACGTGGTGGGCGGTGCTCGGTGCCTGCCGGTGCGTGCGCCCACACACATATGCGCAAGGGTATTTTTTTTTGTTTTTTTGCTCCTTCTAGCGAAAGGGAATCATAGTGAGAGAGTGGGAGAGTTTTATTTGCGTTTGCTGCTGCTGGCGGTAAGCCAACGTGGGAGTCGTTGGTGCTGCAGGATCTGCACAACTTTTACGTCGTGACGGACGCTGCACGACAGCAGGTGGAGCGATGTGACACCCTTGACGCGCCACCGGAGGAGCTGTTGTGGCGTCGCATCTACCCCAGCTGCGCCGTGCTGCTCCGCGAAGACCCTGAGAAGCTGCAGGCCATTGTGGAAGCCGGCCTGGCACAGATGACCGAAGACACTTTACGTGCTTGGTGCGCGGCGGGTCAGCTTCCACCGCTGGAGTGGTGGCTGGTGATGACGATGGACGAGGAGGCTCGTGAGGAGTTGGCGCACCAAGGCGCACCCCGCGTCTGTGGACGTGCCCTGACGAGGCACGAGGCCATTGTGTCTTGTTTAGAGTGTGCAGTCGACTCAACCTGCGTGTTCTGCGCGGACTGCTTTCAACACTCCCCCTGTAGGAATCACAAGCACATCGTGCGGCACGGTAGTGGGGGCGGGATTTGCGACTGCGGGGATCCCTTGGCATGGAAATTGGCGTCCTTCTGTTCCAGGCACAGAGGGTTCCAGCAGGGTGATGACCCCGCCGCTGCTCTGCGGCCCACGCAAAAACGGTGGCTGGAGGTGGTCACGCGCGGGTTGCTGTTGTACCAGGCGACGCTGATGCAGGTTTTTCCCCTGCGTGTCAACGAATCCAGGCCGAGGGTGGACAAGGATGCAGAAATGCGATGGCTTGACAGGGCACTGCGGCGCACGGTGGCGCTCTCGTTGCACCTGGCGAACGTGGGAGAGGGCTCACGACGCTTGATGTGCCTTGCCTTGATGGAGAAGACAGTCCAGCCTCATCTCGTGGCACGTCGGGTGGGTGACAACGGGGCCGTGGTAAGCGTGCACGTCTCTTGCCTGGAGGAATTCTTTATTGCCAATCTGGCCCCCGCGAGGGGGAAGGGTTGTATCATCTGGGAAAACTCACTGCTGTATTTGCTGGGTGGCTGCGTCAGTGACCCGCTGCTTCGCATCCCGATTGCGGAGCTGCTGCTGAAGTACGAGGAGCGGCTCTCCGTGGTGGAGCGTCAACACGTGGAGGAACTCGCCGTCCAGGTGCTCTCTGTGAAGAACGTTGTGGACGGCCTGCTGCAGAAGACCTCTCATCCGCCGTGGCAGTGCGTCATTGGTAACGAGACCATCCTTCACCGCATGCTCTCGGCGCTGTTGTACGTCTGCTGCCACGTGCACAGAAACTCTGAACTCCTGCCAGACGACGTGGAGGTTGCCTACCAGCCTTGCCACTGGTTTGAACTTGCAGTGGCGGCGTCAGAGAACGCCAGGGTGATGGTTGTTTCCCGACAACTCTTCCGTGCCTGGTGCAAGGCACTGTGCCTGATTGGACTGAGTAGTAAGGTTGTCCGCGAGACGCGAGAGTCGGGCTCTGCCAATTATATCATTGACAAGGACAACGCCATGAAGATGGAGGCGGGCCTACGATATGCGTTTAACATTGTGCGTCACATGGTGTTTGGCGTTGGAGCCGCGCTGCTGTCTGGCAAGGAGCCCTTTTCAGCGGCTGCTGTTGCGCCGCTGGCGTCCTTTCCGCTAGTGTGGGATGCATCGCCCGACCCTATGCTTAGCTATGCCTATCACAGGCAGGTGCTCGACGCGCTGGCCCTGCCGCCCGCGTCGCCGCTGCTGCTTGCCGCGAGTGGCACGAATGCCAACGGAGGCGAGCAGTGTCGGGCCTACATGCGGGAGCTATTTATGGAGTGTTTGCAGTTTATTAATGCGGCTCTGGCGGAGAAGCGCGGTGCCTTCACCCCGGCAACGTATGTCCTTTCTGGGCATGACGCGGAGCACATGCTGCCGCGCTACGACCTGCTAGACGGGAAGTCGCCTAACCCAACCTCGTTTGTCGTACCGCACCTGCGTTTTTTTGCCGTGCTGGTGCAGGTGTGGGCAGGCCTGCTGCAGCAGCAACAACAACAACAGGCACAGCTGCGGACGACGAAGGTTCCATGCTTTGGGGGTGACGCTGACGCAAGCACTGGCGAACCCTGGCATCACGAAGACGAGTCTTCCTGCGCGCTTGTGTCAGAGGTTTTTGCGGCGTCGCAGTCACGGGCGGACTACTGGATTGACGAGTGTCTCATGCCAGTTGTGTTGGTGGCGCAGGTGGAACGGGGGCTTTGGCCCCGCGACGAGGGCGATGTGACGTTGCGCACGCTGCACTACCTGAGTGTTCTCGCCCCGGAAATAGCCACGGACGTGTACCTGCTGCATGTGCTCATGCTTCTGACCCCCTCCGAGGCGTTTGCCACGCAGCTGCTGCAGCGGCATGCCGTGACGCGGCCCGATGAGCCCACCGGGTCGTGGTACCCGCAGTTCCTGCGGCTTGTTCTCACCCTCTGTCTCACGGAGTGGAGCGCCGTCATCCGCGACGCTGCCGACGTGCGCCGCGTCCTGCAACGCGAGGTGGTGCACAGCGTGGTGTTGTCCAGAAAAGTATCCTTCCACGTGGTGGAGGGCATCGCGGAGCGGTTCAAGCACATGATACCCGGCCTGGACCCTCACACCTTGCTTCCGTCCATCCTGGACGAGGTCGCCGTGCTGGAGCAGCGGGAGCACGCGCAGGTGTTTGCCATCAAAGACGCGGCGACATGGCGCGCTAACGTGAGTCTTTACCACCCGCTTGTTAGGGATCATTCATTGCCAGGTATGCAGGAGTCGTATGAGCGGCTGGTGCGACGGGAAAACATGGCGAGAGCAAGGGAGGAAGGAGGGGTATCGATAAGAACAGCGGCATCACCCTCAGCACCGAGAGCGGTGCTTCCGCTGCCAAACCTGCCATGGCTGGAGGCACCGCAACAGACACAACCAGGTGGGGTGGATACGGGTTCCGAGGTGGTGCTGCATCGCAAGGTGTGTCTCTTGCTGCAAACACCCGCGGTGCTCTCTGTGGCGATTGCGACGGTGCACATGTATCTTGCCTGTGTGAAGGGGAGCGAGAAGAAGGCTGCAAATAATGCGCCTATGTCTGAGGGGCAGCTTCTCCACGCCATGTCGGTTCTGCATCTTGCGGTGCAAGCATGCCGCGTCATCAGCTCCTCCGCTCACTCCGCCACCAGCGGTGCCCCGTCGTCATCGTGCGCTCAAGGCTCGAGACCTGCGATTGACTGGGATGTCGTGAAGGCGTTTCAGCAGCAGTTTATGCCGCCGTCGGGCTACGCACGGGATGAGCTAAAGCAGCTCTTCCCCGTGCAGGGGATTCTGGATGCCACCACGCTGAAGGAAAAGCTCGAGAGTGCCGTGGTGCGCTGTGGGGAGCCCGGGCTCCTCTCATGTGAAGCCTCGGAGGCCAGGACCACCATCGCCGTGCTGCAGCAAATCTACGTCCAATTCAATGAGTTGGGGAGTGACGTGTACGGCATTGCGTTGATGGCGGCGCACATCTTGCAGGGTGTGGGGGAGTTATCCCCAGCCTTGCCTGCGGAGGGGGCGGTGGCGGCCGAGCGGCACACTACGCACCGAAGAGGATGATCCGCGACGCCTTCGACTGAAGGAGAGGCAGGCGATGCTGCTGCGACGGGTCAAGGCGAGTGACGCCCGAACTTCCGCCAGCATCGTCGCTGCCCTGGACGAAAGCGCCCCAAGTGGCGCTGGCGTCAAGCCCGCCGCGTCTACGGCAGCCACTAATAGCTGCGGTGTCGATGAGGATTCAGTGTGTGAGGCACGAGCGATGACGGCCTCCTCCTCCTCCGTCATGGCCGCCGTGCTCTCACGGCTTGCGGAGGCAGAGTGCTGCATGTGTCGTAACCCCTCTGCGGGGCCGTTGATGCTGTTTGCCAACACCATCACCTCGGACACCTTGTACCGTCTTCGTTTTGATGCGTCCGAGCGAGACGCACCGATGGCCCTGAAGCTGAACGCGCAAATTCATCTCTGTGGGCATGCAGGACACAAGACGTGTGTGGCAAAAATGATTGACCGTATCAACCTTATTCTGGAACGAGGTTCTCCGCTCACTGTGCCCTCCTCTTTCGGTTTAAGGAGTTTCAGCTGCCCCCTCTGCAACATGGTCTGCACGGGGCTGTGTCCGATGCCCACGCTGGCAGCCAATGCGGAGGAGCGAGCGTCATCCGCATCACCGGCCTCGTTATTTGAAGGCGTGCGCAGCGACACGCTGAAGACGACCGAAGACGTGTTGACGCTGTATCGCTTGCTTGCCCGTGCAGCTGTTGGTGCCCCCTCATCGTCGTCGCCTTCCGGTATGGGTGCCTTGGTGAGTCCGAGTGGGCTGCAACGGCTTGACCCAGGCGCATGGGCCCTTGCGGAGACGTTGCGTACCATTCGGAGTCAGATGTGTGTGGCGCTGGAGTGGGTGAAGGCGGGTGGCGAGGTGCAGTACAGTGAGTTGTTGACCTTGCTTTCACTGCTTGTGTGCATTGACCCCAAGCTTCTCGCTGCCAATGCCGCGAAGCTTACAGCTGAGTTCCAGCGCAAGGGGGATGAGTTATGCCTACTGCTGATGCAACTTTTACATTGCCCCGCAACGGCCGCAGTGTCCCTTGCACAGTATACCAAGCTGCTCATTCTTTCGAGTGAGCATGATGCGCTTGTCAACCCCGTCTCGGGAGAGAAGGGTGCGGACGCCCATAATAAGCTTCTGATCGCCATGTGGCGGGAACTCGGATGCCTCACACTGTTGAAGCTGGTTATCTTGGATACTTTTGCTCCAGAGATGGTGCAGTGCAAGGACGGCAAGGTGCATTTGACCCCCTTGAACCCAGACACTCTCGCCACCTTGGAGGGTCGGCGGCGGGCCGTGCTTGCCATGTTGCGTTACCTGCTGCAGGTCCCATCCGCGACGGAGCAGGAGGATGAACTCTGCACCGCGTTATCGGCGCTTGTGCAACATGTGACGGTGACTGGTGGGGGAAGCGAGCCGCAGACGGTTTGGCTGGGTGGAATACCTACACCGCAGCTTATGCAATGCAAGCCGCTGCTGCTACCGTATGATGGCCCCCTGCTATGGAGGCAGCTTGTTGTGTGCCGAGTGTTTCATTTGGCGCCCACCTTCGTGGATTTGATTCTCAACACGAGTTCCGCGGAGCCATGCAGCGTGTGTGGCGATAATGAGGCCCGACGTGTGTGGTGTTCGCTCTGTGGTCGTTCTCTCTGCCTGCGTCCGTTGCTGACGCCGCCTGAGCTGTACGACCACGCACGTGACTGCGGAAACGGGATCGGCATTTACCTTCACCCAGAGTCGAACGTCTTCCTCGTGTTGCTGACGGTCCAGGAACGCCACCTGCACTACCGCGGCCTGTACGCAGACAAGTATGGGCAGACCAGCGTGCGTGAGTTTCATGGCCGCAACGTCCCGCTGAATGACACGGCGGTAAAGGCGTGGCTTTCGCTTTGGATCCGCTCACGGTGGGGCGTCCAGTCCACCGTTGTGAGGAAGCTGGAGTTGGGGGACCTGCGACATTTGTAATATGGCTGATGGCGTGTGGCGCGGGAGAAGTGAGAGGGAAGGAAAAGGGGGACATGCAGCTGTGTGTCTATGTGTGTGTGGGGGAGGGGGGAATTTTTACGGGTTTCCCTCCCTATCTTTTCTCCCTATCTTCTCTCTCCCCCTCTATACATATATATAATATATATATGTTCGATGGCGAGCGTCCGTCGATGCGGGTCTGACGGCGCATTTCCATTTGTCGTTGTCGGCCGTTCGCTTCCACCGCCGCTCAGCTGTGAGGAGGCGAAGAGAGAGAAAAAAAAAAGAGCATTCCACTTCAACTGTTGTACTGACCCACTCACACGCATACAGCTGTTGAGCATCCACTGGTCGCAAAGGAGTAATGCATGTGTGACTATGTCTCTATCTATGCTGTTTTTCCTACTGCACCTGCACTGGGGTGAGGTGGAAGCTAAAGCCACACAAGCTCTAAAGTTTACAACAATGGCCGGAGAAAAGCGCCTGCGGGAGGATGAACTTCAGACGGAGCCGCTGCTGCGCGAGAACCCTGACCGCTACGTGATCTTCCCCATCAAGTACCCCGACATTTGGAAGAAGTACAAGGAGGCGGAGAGCAGTATCTGGACGGTGGAGGAAATCGACCTGGGCAGCGACATGGCGGACTGGGAAAAGATGAGCGACGGGGAGAAGTTCTTCATCAAGCACGTGCTGGCGTTCTTTGCCGCAAGTGATGGAATTGTGCTGGAGAACCTGGCGCAACGCTTTATGACGGAGGTGCAGGTGCCGGAGGTGCGCTGCTTCTACGGCTTTCAGATTTGCATCGAGAACGTTCACTCGGAGACGTACTCGGTGCTGCTGGACACGTACATCACGGACGCAGAGGAAAAGGACCGCATGCTGCACGCCATCACCACGATTCCATGCATCAAAAAGAAGGCGGAGTGGGCGATCCAGTGGATTAGCAGCACCAGCTGCTTCGCCGAGCGCCTTGTTGCCTTTGCGGCGGTTGAGGGCATCTTCTTCTCCGGCTCCTTCTGCTCTCTGTTCTGGTTGAAGAAGCGTGGCCTGATGCCTGGACTGACCTTCAGCAACGAGCTCATTTCGCGTGACGAGGGCCTGCACACCGACTTTGCCTGTCTGCTGTACGAAAATTACATCGTGAACAAGCTTCCGAAGGAGCGCATTCTTGAGATCATCTGCAGTGCGGTGGATATTGAGCGTGAGTTCATCTGCGACGCCATTCCCGTGCGGCTGCTGGGGATGAACGCTGACCTCATGTCAACGTACATCGAGTTCGTGGCGGACCGGCTGCTCGTGGCGCTTGGCAACGAGCGTCACTACATGTCGAAGAACCCATTTGACTTCATGGAAATGATCTCGCTGCAGGGCAAGACAAACTTCTTCGAGAAGAAGGTTGGCGAGTACCAGAAGGCTGGCGTGATGAGCTCGGAGGGCACCACGAAGGTATTCTCACTGAACGCGGAATTCTAGAAATGGTGGGCGCGGGTGGCCTACGCTGCCACAACCATCGCATATATACACTAGAGCGAATAACATAGATCGTTTTCCCGTTTTGTTTTTTGTGTATTTATTCTGGTCAAAAGGGGGTGGATTGTAAGCGAAGAAAAAGAAGGGAAAATGAGTTGTTGTTGTTTTTCGAGGGTGTCCGTTGCCTGCGTTCAGTGCTTTTCTTCCCAATATATATGCATCGCCGCAGGGGGATGACTGCGAAGCGCAGGAGGCGGGTGACGGGCGCGCTCAGCCGTCTCCATCAGTTTTTTCTTCTTTTTGTTCTGCCGAATCCTTACGCTGTTCACGTGACGGGGAATCGTGTCCGGGCTCACCCGAGAGGGGGGGGGAGGGGGGAGCCGTTGTTGTTGTCGGTCTTGCTGTGTGGAATAGGCGGCAGCCAAAAAATAAGGTAGATAAATAAGTGCGGGGAGCATTAAATTAACCTCATTGGCCCGTTTTTTTTTGTTTTTTCTTTCCTTTTTAGTTTTGTGTCTTCGCACTGCTTCCATGCAGGGGCATTGCGGCAGGGAGTGCGTCTCTGTGTGTGTGTGTGTATTATTTTTTGTCTTTGTTTTTTGTTTTTTTTTCGGGCGCAAAAGGCGGGACTGTTGTCTGCGTGCAGCTTCTGAAGCACTCTTTGTGCACGGCCAGAGGACTGACTGCCAATTGGTAAAGACGGAGACGGAGGAGAAAAAGAGGGAGATAACTAGAAGTAACTGCGCCTTGTTTTGTTTAAGGCATAATTATTCTCGAGGCTTTACTATTGCTGTGCGTGGGTGTCTCTGCGTGGGCCCCATGTCTGCGTGCTCCTATCCCCCCACCCCTTTTTTTTTATTTTATTGTTTTCTGTGTTTGTTTGTCATCTCACTGCTTTTCTTTTTGTTCCCTGCCTTATGCCTACGTGGTGGGCGGTGCTCGGTGCCTGCCGGTGCGTGCGCCCACACACATATGCGCAAGGGTATTTTTTTTTGTTTTTTTGCTCCTTCTAGCGAAAGGGAATCATAGTGAGAGAGTGGGAGAGTTTTATTTGCGTTTGCTGCTGCTGGCGGTAAGCCAACGTGGGAGTTGTTGCCTGGCGTGTGTGTGTGCGCGCGCTTTCGTCCCTTCACTGTTCGTCATGGCGCATTTGAAGGTGCTGCAGCCGATGGACCCGGCCAGCTGGGATACACGGCAGGTCCTGGCGTATGCCAGGCTGCATCAGGTGGCAGGGATTTCGGAGGAGCGGGTGGTGGGCAGGTCCCTCCGGGAAACCTGGGAGTCGTTGGTGCTGCAGGATCTGCACAACT